GAAATTCTTATGTCTTCGTTCTTTTCTATCTAAATGGTTTGAGTGAGTTAAAAAAAAAGATAAAAAAAAAGAAGAAAATCTTGCAAGGAAAATAAATTACTTTTTTTAAATGTCAATGTATTTTTGCCTTTAAGTAATTTTGTGAAATTTTGTTAGTGAATTCATTAAAATGAAATAGTTTTTAGAACAACTGATAAAAGAATGAAAAGAAAAGCCAAAAGACAATTGAAATTAAGGAAACAATCACATCTCACACATCAAGGGATGAAGGATGTAGAAAGAAACCAAAAAATCTTTGCAACAATTTTCTTGTTAAAGGAAGAGATGTTTGACTTTGTCACATCTTCACTTATTTAGGAAAAGCAATCATTCAGAATGTTTAAACTTCAACTTCTTGTTCATCAATATAATACTGTTAATATAATAAGGAAACTACAGGGTCTCCTACAGAAGGTAGTGAAGGAAAGCAAGAAGAAAGGACTAAACACCAATTGCTAGAAGACAGAATACGTTGTTGTTAGCAAAAGGAACAGACCAATATTCAAATTACAAATTGGAGATGCAACAATCAAACAACTACAACAATTTAAATATCTTGAAAGTGTTTTAACAGAGGATGTAAAATGCAACAATGATATCCAAAGTTGCATTGGGATAGCAAAAGATGTCTACCAAAAGCTAAGCAAAGTATTAAGGAACAGGATAATTTCATTAGAAACAAAGAAAAATATACTGAAGTGTTTTGTAATATCGATCATCCAATATGGCAGTGAATGCTGGAAATCTCCTTACAGATGAAGAAGAGATTTGAGGCAACAGAAATGAGGTTCTACAAAAGGATGCCGAGAATACAATGAACTGGACTTCTGAGTATGGAGGAAGTTTTTGGAAAATGGAATCAAAGTGGATGCTTAGACTTAGAATCAGAAGCAGATAGTAGAAATTTCTAGGACACATAATGAGGAAAGTGGGTTTGAAGAATCTGACACTCATTGGACATACTGAAAGTAGGAATGGCAGAGGAAAATTCTACATAACCTACCTAGTGAGCTTGATTAAATGGATGGCTGAACAAGAAGATATAACAAAAAGACAAAATTTATCAAGTGTTACAAAAGAAAGGAAATTTCGGAGAGCCATGATCACCAATGTCCTGAAGGGACACAGCATATAGTAGGAAATAATATTATTAGTTCAAAGGCATATTGCCTTGTAGCAATGACAAGCAAGTCTGGAGGGAGTTTGATCCTCACAAAATACCCTGTGTATGTAGCCTTGTGTCAGATTAAGTTATGCTTAAAAAATTAAAAAAGCCTCATGACAGAAAAAAGATTAGAAAGCTCATCTTAATACTTCAGTAAACTTCTTAAACCAGTTTGGTTGGGGGGGCAGGGCAGTACATTCAGATATTGTTTCATTTCCTAAATTATGTGAGCAGCCTCAGAAGCAAAGCAGTTCAGTTTAAAGGAATTTATCAAAATTGCCAGAATTTCAATACTTGTATCTGACATTATAACATTTGAAACAAAAGGTGCAGCTGAATAAAGCTGATACTTATATATATATATATATATATATATATATATTATAAATTAATTGATTTAAAATATGTTTTTTTTTTCGCTACACAGTTCTAACCATGTTTCAAAAATGGAAGCTAATTTTGTAATTAAATTAAAGACATTAGTTCCATTTCATCCTCAAGCGAATTTTGGAGTAACTTATTTTTAAATTTACTGGGTTTTAAAGACATGGCAAAAATCATAATTCACGTTTTCAAGGATACAGAGAAATCTATTTAACAAGACAAGGGGTGTTTGGGTGTTCATTATCGCTGTATTTTAATGTATGAAAAAAACATATTTTAAATCAATTAATTTATAATATTAATGCTCTGTAAGTTTACATTGAGCACTATTTTGTAAAAATAAAAATATCTATAAGAACACCGGATTATATATCTTAATGTTCTTTCTTTTTATTTATATATATATATATATATATATATATATATATATATATATATATATCATCATCATCAGATAACATTCTCTCTACCGATAGCAGAATGTGCACTCATATGATTCAACTCACTCCAGAGTTCATGGTCCCAGATATCTTGGTTTAAGGATCCAACATTGAGTTGTGTTCATTTAATTATATTGTCATGTGACTTTCTTTGCTGGGCCCTCTTGCTTCTTTTTGATAATATTTTTTTTTTTGCCTCATTTGATGTGATCATATAACTTTAAAGGTTTTACTCTTTCTTAAGGAGACAAATGGGGTCAGACCAGTTGTGTCTATAAGGGTTTGTATCCTTATGTGATCTGTTAGATAATTGTTGATCATAATGTAATTCTGGAATGTTCCCATTTTCTTAAGAAAGTTTATAGTTCAGATGACACAATCCAGACATTACTAGGAGACCATTTAGAAAAATTCTCTCTTAGACTCAGGGAAAACAAAGCAGGCAATAACTGAGTAGCACTAAATAAGACATGATATCTCTAGACATGAACAGTAGAATGTGAACAATCTATCATTTTCGGAGCAGTATGTTAACTGCTCTACCACCAATGCAAAATAGTCTGAACTTCATTTATGATGGTGCTAAACATGATAAATAACCACTCTGATGTTGGGTTTCTTTTGGTCCAACTAGGTTGGTTTAAGATCATCAGATAACACTGTCTCCACCTATCATATGATTCAACTCACTCCAAAGTTCACAGTCCTGGTTTAAGGATCCAACATCAACTTGTGTCCATTTGATTATATTTTCATGCCACCTTCTTTGCTGGGACCACCCACATTTTTTTTCAGTAACCATTCATTTCAATGTATATTTTTGATAATGTAGTGTTGTTTTATTTAACATGCCCATATAACTTAAGAGGACGAATGGGATCAGATCATTTTCTTATAGAAGCTGTATCCTAATGCAAGCTATTTGGCAGTTTTTGGTTATGAGTCATGTGATGCGATTCTGGAATATTTCCACTTTCTTAAGAAGTCTTATGGCCCATTTTATTCAATCCGGGCCATAAAGCAGTACAAAGAGAATATATGTTTTGTAGATCTTAATTTTGATTTTGAAGGGAATACAAGTGGATGTCAGAAGTGATTTGTTCTTTTCAAATGCTACCCAGAAAAATGAAAATGAAAGTTAGTGTTCAGGATAGACAAATTCTATTATATATATATATATATATATATATATATATATATATGTAAAAAGTTTACTGATGACATTTCATCTGCTAGGACTTCATCAGACTGGTTTTGTTGATGTTGTTATGACTACATATGCGCATGACAGCAAGATATTGGTAGTTTAAGAATTTTTTGAAAGAGTTTTTTTTTATTACAATCTAGCCAAATCCATCTATCTTCTTTTTCTTTTTATCATCTTTGTTTTAAAATATCACATATTCTGGTAAAAGAAAATCTGCCAAGAATTGGTGAAATGTTGTAAGAACCTGGACCTAAATTTACTGTTGCTGAACAAGCGATTAAAGCACTTTCTATACATTTTCGTCTCAGTGAATTATTTTCTCTTTTAATTAGAGTAGCATTTCTTATGTCAAAATTGTGGCCAGTTTTGTTATGGTGAACAAGCAATGCATTTCAGGTGTTGTTTTGTAAAATGTCTCTTTTATGTTCATATAGTCTTTTGTTTAAACTTAAAAAAAAATTATTTTTAAAAATTTTGTAACTACCAGTATCTCTTATTCATGCACATATGTAGTCATAATGATGAAGTCCTAATGGATGAACCATGTCACAAGTAAAGTTTTTCCATTTTGCCTTACAATTTCCTCAATACTGTTCTAGATATATAAAAATATATATCACTAGAAGCATGGCCCAGCATTGCCCGTGCTTGATTCAAAAATCATATGACTCATACAGCACTGCACGCACTAACCTGTTTCTTCCCGCGCATAGCGTGACCTTAAATTAATCTGCATTTAGGAAATACCCAACCGGAAAAACATTTTTAAGGGTTGACCGATTGTCCATTTGCACTCTGTTTGGGGGGGCACTCAGAGTTGAAACTTCACATGGTGACTCCCAATGGCCTCCTCATAAATCCAGTCGGTTTTCGCTAAAAACCGACATGCGGTTCAGGTGCAGTCTGGGTGTATTGGCTTTTGGGTTTTATCAATTTTCTGCACTGTTTAGGGGTCCGTGGTTATGAAACTTCTGGACAACACTTCTAAAGGTAGACTCTAAGAGGGTGTCAAATTTGGTTGAAATTCAATAATTCCTTCTGTAAGCAGATTTTTTCAATTATCGATTTTTTCAGAACCTGAGTCCGAACTGAAAAATCGGGCTCCGTCATGTTCTTAAGGCAGCCATTTGCAAACTTGTGGTGAAAACCGCATAGAAACCGGGTGAGAAATGTGGCCTGGGCGAGGTAACAATGCCCACGGCAGACACACAGACAGACAACATTATCGATTTTTTCGGAACCTGAGTCTGAACTGAAAAATCAGGCTGTGTCATGTCCTTAAGGCAGCCATTTGCAAACTTGTGGTGAAAACCGCATAGAAATCGGGTGAGAAATGCGGCCTGGGTGAGGTAACAATGCCCACGACAGACACACAGACAGACAACATTATCGATTTTTTCGGAACCTGAGTCTGAACTGAAAAATCGGGCACCGTCATGTCCTTAAGGCAGCCATTTGCAAACTTTCTAATTTAATCGGTTGATTCATTTTCTACAGTTTATCAAACCATTGCAGGTTATTTAAAGCCAGAAAATATTTTTAGATTATGAGAATTTAGGTGAAGATAATAATGATTTAAAGATACAATTATTATTAATTAACCCATAGGTGGTGAGAGGGAGAAGACGTGGATTCATACCTTTTCCCAAGGGTATTTGTGCATAAGTGAATGTAATGAACTCAACTGGGATTGGAACTTGCCTCTCCAATTAACAACTCTGAGTCATTATCCATTCATTACACCACCCACACATCCAACCTTAGCACACCTGGTAATCCCAAACAGTCACCCATCTAGATACTGACCAGGTTTTACATTGCTTAACTTTGGTGATCGTACAGGAACTGGTGTTTTAACATGATATGGCCATAAGCCAGCAGATTACAAAGTGAATGCGCAGATTATTTTTTTCTTTCTTTTCTTATAGAAAAAAAAAAAATTTTATAGTGACGTAAGATTTTTATATAAATAATTCTATAAATAATAATTAAATGATAATAATTAAATAATAATAATTAAATCTATAAATAATTCTACATATAAATAATTCTATAACATTTTAAGGTAAAATTCTGAATTTGTTGTTATGCCTAACATGTGTTTAATATTAACATGAAATCATGAGAATATCAATATAAGAGCCAATAACCACATTCTAAGATCCTTTGTTTAAAATGGCTTTGAGCAAATGAAACCTGTAGTACTTGGTGGTAATCATCCTTCTTGGAACATTGTGGACTGCTGATACAGAATCGCAAACAAAGAACTGTACCAGATAATAGAAACAACATTATTTCAAGACATTCAACAACAACTAACATGGATATCACATGTAACTTGAAGAGAAAATAATGAGATCATTTAGATGTTGACATTCCACACTACTTCAATAAAAGTTAGGATTGAAAAAAATTGTTTTAAGACAAAGATTTCATAAAATTAAGTTGAAAGCAGCACTGGCTGCTCAGTTAATGAAGATTAATTGTTTCCTTATAAGGAAACAGTTAATATTACCATTACTATTACCATAGTCTTTAGATGTGTCCAGGAAATAAGGTTTGGGTAAATGTCTAAAAAATGCTTTTGCTGTACATAAACGTAATAATAATCTTTAATGGGTGCTCTACACTCATGGTCTTAAGCCAGACTAATATATATAAGACCATACTGCATGTATATAATGGTTATTATGCTAGCCTAGTTGATAATTATTACTTGGTGCTCCATATATATGGCCTTGTTGCAGACTAAACTAATATAAATAAATACAAAGAGAACCATGTTATGGTGGAATAGTATATTGTAACTGCTGTAGTTAGTTTAATCCTTGCTGGGTACTCTAGAACTGTGCTAAACTTAATAAAAACTGAAGACCACCCTACTGTGGCTTAATATTAAACAAATTACTCAAGCAGGTCATTACTACTGCCAACCTCAATGAATATCTCAATACTTGTGGTCTTGTACTTTTAAGAAGTTTTGTATGACTTCCAAAGCCTAATTCTCAAGAGGCTTGTTTCTGATAATAATAACTGATTTCTACATATTCCTTTCTATGAGTTCCGATTCCATGCTCTCCATGTCTGTCTCTCTTTTTAGACATGCTTATTCCATCTTCCAATTGACATTTTCTTAGAGAGTCTTATAAATTACTGGAGCCCAATATAACTTTATGATCAATCAATTTAGTTTACAGCCAGTCAGTATTTACAAGCACATATGAGTATCTTATATAATGTGTTCAGTATATTGGAGCAAAGTGATGACAAACCCAAACAATGAATTTTACTTCAATCACTACTACAACAAGTTGAAATAAGTTCTACCTCAGACACAGGAAATCCTTAATAAACTGACCATTGAATGGATTATAACACAGAAATTTTCAGTAGTGTAAAGCTGGTTTGGTTTGTTTTATGGCATATCAACCTCAATGGGTTATTTAATGCCGACAAAATTTTTATTGCTGGTAATATTTTGTTTTGTCAAAAATCTATTTCTGGTAATATTTTTCCTTCAAAAATGTATTGCTGGTAATATATTTTTCAAAAATGTATTGCTAGTAATATTTATATTTTAAAAACATATTGTTGGTAATATTTTTTTTCCAAAATGTATTGCTGGTAAAAAATTTTTAATTTATTTCTGGTATTAAAACCTATTTTTACACTTTCATATTGTTTTAACCCCAGTTTGGGGGTTAACAATTTTCCCATAGCTGGGACCCAAAAAGGTGCTATCACTCCGGGTCAGGGTGGACCTGGGAACACCAGCAATTAAAAGGTGGTTCCACGTTCCTCAAAACCTTCTGATCAGAGGCCTTGCTGCTGGACGTAGTTTATCGTCTTACTCAGGACACAGGTGTAGTTTATCATCTTATCCAGGATAGGAAAAGCAGGTAGGAATTTAAAAATAACCAAAAATAAAATGGCTAAGAAACATTTCTTTAATTACAGAATAATTATGACATTAATTATTAATATGGCATTTCAGTGTTTCAAAAGTATTTGACAGGCCTTTTTTTCAAGTCTTATTTCATGTTCTTTTTTCACCCCAAGGCAATAAAACTACTAAAATGCAAGAGGTTACTCAGTGTGAGAGAATATAAAAAAAAATAATATTATTAAGGAAAGAGAACAATAAAAGAACAAGAATTAAGAAGACAGAAGATAACGATTGAGACTGCATTTAAATTTTTGAAGATCAAAGTTGACTTAAACACAAGAAGTCAGAAGAAAACTCCACAAGTAGTAAGTGTGCAAAAGGTTAGGTCAAGTATTAAGAAACAGGAAAATTATGTTAGAAAGAAACTGAGTGTACTTAATTCTTGAAATTAATAAGTGTTATGTAGTGTACGAAAGGTTTTTCTTCCTCCATATGAGTTCGAATCCATCGTCGCCAAGTTGTTATGTAGTGGTTTCACAGTGGAGGCATTGTATTTGTAGTAAGTCGGTCCTAAAATAGGTTTGATGTACAAAACGTTAGGAACTTGATATAATAAGTAATGACGCAGTAATCTAGTTGTGGTGGCTGATACTTTAATATCCGACTAACGGTCATCCGACATCGACTGCCAACTGACTTGTTACTCTTACTACTCCTACTTATTATAGGTGGGAGAGTCTATTAACTATAGAATAGGTGTGTTCCACTATAACAATAAGTGATCACTAAATTTTTAAATTCTTCAATTAAAATTTATTCAAGTGAGTTTTAACACTAAATCTCTGATACGGTGATTGAAAAACAGAAGAAAAGAAGCATTGTCAGTTGTCATAAATTGAAACTAGATTTGATGACATAACAAAACTTAAAACAAGCACTATTAACAAAATAGAGTTAGAATGTGTATAATTTAAAAGCCTTGTTAACGTTTTTACCATAGAAATTTATTGAAAGTCAAAAAGAAAGATTGTCAGTGGTCAGGAATGAAGGCAAAAGTTACTGACATAACAGAAGTTAATAGAAGCACTATTAACAGAATTGTACTGGAAGTAGATGAGTAAGAATATTCAGGTAAAAAAAAAAACTATTTATTTTTAAGTCTCCCAAGGAAGAAGGCAAACAATTTATGAAATTTTCACCGAACTCAGATCTTTGGCAGATTTATCCCTCCTGAAAATTTCAATGTTATACTTTAGATATATAGGTCATGTGGCAAACTAAAATAAATATTCAAAAACATTGAATCTGAAAGGTTTCTGGAAAGTTTGGGAAAATTTCCCATTGCTTACAACTACATTAAAACCTTTCTTAAGAAACGATTTCACATGAAAGAAAAGATCAGCATTGCAGTTCAGATTCCAGACAGAACTCTCCTCAGAACAATAGCTTTTGTCGGAGTAAACTCAACAACTTCCAAAGTTAAATACGATTACTTCTAACTCCATATATACTCTCACACACTTTTACATTCTGACTCAGTCTCTGGATATTGCTCCAAGACTATGATACATATACATTCATTCTAAAATCTTGAAACAATGTTTAATTCAATGAACTCTAAGCAAATTTTGTGTTCTGGATCCAGACATTTCTTTAATTTAAGAAATTCAAAATTCTCTTTCAAGAAAAAACAAATTATTACTATATATTTATTATCATTATTATTATTATTACTATGTTTATTATATATTTATTACTATATAAACAGTGAATGAATTTATTTATTATTATTATTATATATTATTATTATTATTTTATTATTATATATTATTATATTATGCTTATTATATATTTATTACTATATAAACAGTGAATGAATTTATTATTATTATTATTATTATTATATATTATTATTATTATTTATTATTATATATTATTATATTATGTTTATTATATATTATTATTACTATTATTATATATTTATTACTCTATAAACAGTGAATGAATTTATTTATTATTATTATTACTATTATTATTATATTATTACATATTATTATTATTATTATTATATATTTACTAATATATAAACAGTGAATGAATTTACTGCATCTAATAACAGATTCTGTTTCTTTTAACATTTTAACATTTGCCACAAGAATATATTTTATATAATTGTATGTTATAATATATATTTTCCTTGTATTTTCCTTTTTCTAAGTGACTTCTGCTATTCATTCCTTTATTGCTTGCTGTTAGATGTTCTGAATTTTAAGCTTATGAAATGGCTAATATTACCATTACTATAATGCAAATAATTTATCCAACTAATCTTACATATGTGGATGTGTGTGTGTGGCATAATGGTTAGCAGATTGAAATTAGGAATCAAAGAACTTATTTTGAATTCTAGTTGAGTTCATTACATTGACTTACATTCCAGCTATGGGCTATTTAGTAGGACTTGTATCTGGAAAAGTTATTTTATCTCCCAAATATTGTTAATGCAAACAAATTATTCTTACAATACAAGATGTTTCAGATTTACATAAAAGGGTTGATAAGATATATATTTCTGAAGGAATAATGGATTTTATTTTTAATCTATGATTTTTAATTATTTCAAACATTATTTATAGTGAATACCAGTGTTTAAAATAGATACCACACTTTTTTTTATTTTAAGCATTGTGTATTATGCCCATCTGCCAGCACACTCAAGAAAACTTAATACAGAAAATGTGCTCTCTCTAAAGATTTGAACATGTGTCCCCATTTGTCAAAGAAACTACCATTTGATCTAGCATGCTTTAGACAGTTCGGCCACAGTGAGCATCCCAGCCCAGTAAGATTCTTTTAACTCAATTAAGGAAGGTACCCTTTATATTTCAGTTATTCTCAAAAGTCCATATCCACTTAGTTTTGGATCTGAAACATAAACAAAGCACTCTCTAAAGAATTAATGGACTTTCTTTTTAATCTGACATTTT